GGACCCCATGTAAGTGGACATTATCTGAATTACGCTCAAAGACTCAAGAAATGCCGAGTCGGAATCTTTTGTGAGCGTTAGCTCATCGTGCCTTTAGCTTTCAGAGCTTTTCAACAGGCTCTTACTACTTGGCACAAGTCCAGGCACTAAAATAAATCTTGAAACTTGTGTATGCGCTCAAACATAGAAGAGTTCGAAATTGTGGGATAGTTGTGGTAGTTCAGACTAATTAGCCACTAATGGCTAGTCGGGATTATGTTACATGTAGTATTAGACATTGTAATGTTATGTTACGAAGATAAGCAGTATACATTTTGACGTTCTCTCGTCCCCTCTAGTAAATCGTTGGTCTTTGATCCATATACTTGGCCCCCGGCGCATTAATATGTCTGAGAATCCGTATCTGCTTTGCTTTGATTCCTGACGCGGAAGTGAAGACGTATAGGTCTGCTTTGAGTAAACAAGTATTGAAAGCGATAACATGGCGTGAAATCGTCAGAAACGATACACTTTAAACTTGAAATTTCTACTCTGTAGATTGGATAACACCGAATGTGGCTCCCATCAAAACTTGATGGGATGACGTCCGGCTCAGTCTGAGAAAAATCACCGATTCGTCTATGTTATGGGGAAAATGGCTTTGTACATAGGCATTTGGGACAATGGTCGGAATTATTCCTGATTTCCCTAATTACTAAGCAACAAGCAAGTGTACAGAATTGCTTTACTTTCTCTTGAATTCTACCAAATTTTCGCCCAATACAGGTTTCAATTGGTACCAGGATGTCTACTAGGGGTGAGGGTGATCGCGCTGGGCGAGGGGAAGGTCTGAGAAGATTACTTCACCCATCCAAGCATTGACTGCCCGTAACGAACTTTCTATAGGTCGAGTGCCTTCTCCCAACACTTCTTTCATTATCGGCTGTAGTCCTAGCGTATCCTAAAAACCAGTTAAAAGTGACCCCTGCCATCGTGAGGTATGAGTCTCAAAATCAAAGAAGGAAGAATAAAGTCTTTAGGCTTGAACAATCCCGTCCGAGGACGTACTCCTTCATTCAACCTCCATTCAGAATCGTAGTTGTGTTTGAATGCGTATGTGGCCTGTACAATGACTCGCGGTGCCCAGCCGATGTACAAGTCAGTGCTTTTATCCTCCCAGACGAGTCTGGTATCAATCAACTGATCCCGCTGGGATGGAACTTGGTTGGCCTGAGCGGATCGCAAAATTGGGAAGCAGTAAGATTGATTTTTTCAGATATAGATCAAGTGAGCACCCAGATCGGAATAGGAAAAAGGGAGACGAGATGCACCCAATCAAGTTTTCATGTTTCTTTGACAGAAATCTGATCCGGAATCGCTTTTGCTCATTAGCTGGACTGGTCCCGAGAAGAAAAAGTTGCTTACAATTCTTTGACTCAATTGTCCGACCGAGATTTGGAAAGCAGATAAGCGATCAACTTAAGGAGCACTTTAAACGGTTTTCAGCTGTCCCTGTTTTCAAACAGCGTCACGTCATGCATGTCTAAGTGTTCCTCTCTTGAAGGTTTTGAGAACGTAATAAGGATCCAGCTGCGAAAGCTAAGTGCCTACTAACCTCGAGCCATCGATTATAAACGGGGGGCTGAAAACCTGTTGTCCAGCACTTAGAAGACGTCTATTTAGGCATTTGTTTACCTATGACTGCTTCGGTCATTTGTTCCTTTGTTCAATTGTTCAGTGTTCATCATGAAGACTCGAGAAGCAAGCTCAGATGGAGGTATGGGAACTATAACAATGTCTAAGTCTGAAAGTCTCTTGGCGTTAAGCAACTCCGCCCTTGGGAGGCACTCCTGTCTTCGACTTCCTATCAGGATCGTGGTGGCGGCTTGAATGCGTATGAGGCCTATACAGTGAGTTTCGGTGGCCTCCCAGACGATTTCGGTACGAATAAACCGATTACGAATGGATTGAACGTTAGGTTACTATTTACTTATATCGGTCCGGGATCTGATCCCCAGAATACGGTAGTAGGTGCCACCTCCCACAACACCGCTTCCATTCCTTCAAAAGATTGCATAGTAAGGTATGAAAAATGTCTACCAGTATGAGGACGAGTATGATGATTTACACATGACATAGAAAAACTTCTGGGACGAGGATTTAGCTTCCCCAGTGAGGGGCGTATAGTCGATTATTTACAAAAATATTCCTAATGTAAACAGATCCTTGTGATCCGAGACTTTTTACTAAATCCTATTGCTATTTATAGCCTCTAAATCATGAAATTTTTAGTCGTCCTCTTCCAAACAAACAAGGATTTTTTCCGTAATAGGCCTAGTTGAAGTCTCCCACACATCCTTAGTTACAAAGGCGATTTATTGCTAAGTGGGCCGATACGGCCCAAGCAGATGTTCATGTCGGCAAAAGCAATTAACATAACCTTGTTAGCTGTAGTGATCGGCTTGTAAATGCTTAGAGAACATGTGGGTCCAAAGGGCTAGTAGCTTTGAACTCGATAGTGAGCTTATTACAGTTCATCCGAATATTTTTCAAGCTCAGAGTAGGAACCATAGAAAAGAGGCTACGAGACTTTCTTGGCTAGAAAGAAGTTCATGGTTGATTCCGATCTTCGAATCTGAACAGGATCAAGCACTCTACGGACGATTAATCCCGTTTTTGGAAGTGCCACTTGTTGAACTTCCACTTGAAGTCGTAGTGACATGCTTTCTTTTTCGGAGATGTCTGTTAGTAGTTCCCCAGCTCTCACCAGACAGAAGATCCCTCTGTCATCGGAATTTCTAGTCAGGATTCGATCCTCTTCGAACTGTATGTTTGGTAGCGGCGCTTCTTGCCTCTCATCCTCCCTCTCCATCTCCCCGTTCTCCAATTTCAACTGTGCCACTATGTATAATTCGTTATTTCCTTTTGGTCGTTCTTTGCTTACAGCTGAGATTTACCCAAAACAAAGAGGCGTAACGTCTACTCGTGACGTGATAGACATGACTACATTTATAATGTTTTGCGAGAATTCGTATTACAGTAATCTCGAATTTGTTCGTACAACATACAATTGATAAACAAAAGCTTCATGGAAAAATAAATAACAGCTTTGTTCATATTGTAGTTACGAATCAAGGAACTCTCTCTTCCTATCTTGAATTTTTTCTGAAATTCTGAATTCCTATGAGTGATTCTTAGCCTTCAGTTGGTCCTCAGGCTCCGGTAAGAGATAAGCTATCATGAAAAAGAATGGGATTTTCTCGTTTTTTCTCTTTTTTTCAAGCTTTTAGGAGGCCTCTTGGAGATTCAGCAGACCTCTCAACTTTTTCTATCGTTTTCTTTCCTCTTCTTCAAGTTTCTCTTGCCGACTAATCATAAACGACTTAATCAGAACTTTTCAGATTGTTCGAGAAGTGTCCTTCTGAGAACGTGCACATTCATTTGCCCGGAGCACAGCGACCGCCGCCGTTGTCAAGCTGAGAACAACGACGACGAGGACGACGACGACGACGACGACAGCAACGGCGCGGCCGGCCACGTAAGGAGGTGGGAATTGCGTGGTCGTTGTGGCGAGCTCAAGCTCCGCCTACGACAGCTGATACACGAGAGGCAGATCGATCCGCGCCAGAGCTGGCATGCCGCGAACGGCGCTCTCGCTCGTCAGAAGCTCGACGATGTCGTCGTCGTCGTTGCTGCTCCAGCTCTCTGTCGTCGACTGGCTTCTACTACTGGTACTTCTGATTCCACTGCCAATGATCAGTGCTTCGTCCCCGGTAAGAACTCTTACCTCGCATCCATCATCATGTCAAAAGCCACTGTAGTCCCTTCATAAACAACTTTTTTTTGAAACGGTTATTCTCCCCCTTCAAAGCTTGCTTCCCCTGAGATATATCTTGAGATTTGTCGGTTTTCTAGACCATTCTGGATTATTAGATCTTTTTTAAAAATACTATTTTCCAAAGCGATCCCCAGGTATCTTGTGGAATGCTCCCTTGCTTGCGTCCATCATTGTGAACCCAAACAAGCCAACCAAATGTAGATTTGCTTCGCTGCCGGTAATGGTGGCAACGACGACAACAGCGTGTCGTGCCGGAAGCTGGCCTGGCAGTTCGTAGTCCTCTACTCGAATTGAGAGCGCCTTGGGACTATTAATCCCGGAAAAAGCGCTTAGTATTCGATGGCTGCCCCCTGAGATCCGTTGAGTTCTCTAAGGATTACAAAGCCCTTGAAACAGTGCAAAGCTTTTCCCTAACACTCGAACTGAATATAGGGATTAAAAACCAGGATTGATAGCGATTCTATGCCTTGACCATTCTTCACAGTTCGCATGATTCCGTTCCATCTGACTGATATGAAACTAACTGGTCTCTATTGAAATTTGATTAAACCTAGTTGTTGAGGCTGAGCTCTTTAAAGTTGCGGGGTTTTTTTTTTGTTCCGCACTACATCCATCAATTCTGATGGATAACGAAAGGCGCTCCCCGTCTGTCATTAGATCGACTCTTGGCGATAGGTTTTCCATTTCGACTGAGAAACTTGAAAAAAGATCTCAAAATCTTCGAAAACATCTCACGGCCTCCTTTAGATGCTCTGTGACCGTAGCCTCCTCGGACGATAAAGGGCAGGATCTCTCGAAAAGCCGGTTTAGGTTAAAGGTCTCAGTTGGCTTTTTAAAAGCTGTAAAGACTTTTCATGTATTGTTCAGTGATATGTTAATCTCTACAGTTAGTCACTTGCTTCAACGGGAAAGAGGAGCTGTCAGCTCTGGGAGACTTCCTATCAAATGAGTGAAGGAAGGGTGTGAAATGAGTGAAAACGGGAAAGGAAAACGGGTCATTAATGCTGACACTGGGAAAATTTCAAAAAAAAAATTCCATTCCCTGTAAATTTTGTTATTTCTTGCATAGAATGCTTGAACTTTCCCTTATTGTTGAATGAGGTTCCCATGAAGAGCGAAGAAAGTGAAAGTAACGAATAAGTGTAATGCAATACCTACGGAAGGGTAAAGTTCCGGGTGCTCATCAGGGTTAAACACTTGTTGTGAATCTCCCTTAGATGCGATTGCGATTCTGTCCGGGACCATTCTCTCAGATTGGCCTGGAGTCAACAAACAGATTTTGCCATATGTAAGGCTGGACGTGATTGTTGTATAATATTGACCACGGGACCTTTTCTTACGCTCATGGACGATGAATGGCCATGCAAAAAAAATGAATTATTTATGTAATTCTTGAAGTGTAGCCTTGAGAGAAAATTGAATTCTGAATTCATTATCTTCTGCTCTAATTAGGAAATTGCCCTTTTGAAGTCTATAGCGACCCTTTCGAAGTCTATAGCGATTCTGAGTCATAAAAAATCCATAAAAACGCTTCTGAATTCTGAGTAAATTGGAAATGAATTACTTGTAGCTTACAGCCCATGCTTAATTGCATCATATCGCTGGTGTTTCTTTACCTCGGAGTTATTTCGCTGTGTTCAGCCCCTCAGGGGATGTCAGCTTGAGCGTTATACTAGATTTTATCTCCTCTCTATTACTCTTACTTTTAAACCTGTTTTCTAGGTTCTTACTGCGATTTTACTTGGCACTTTCTGACTCCTCTGCCGAGGACTATCGGTTAGCCTCGAGATATTACTTTGTAAACAGTATTTTTAAAATTTTTTTTTTGGTCCGAATTCGTTGGTCCGTGTAATAGCTTTTCTACAATTCCCTTCCCCAGTCTTGGCATCCCTGGATGCAAAAAAGAGGACCCAAGACGTATCTGACCGTGCTGCTCTTTGTTCTAGGACATGGATTCAAATGTTCCTGCAATAGTGGAAGGAAACCGACCTCCTAACGCATCCCAGCTTACTTCAGTACCTGCTGCTGCTTTGAATTCTCAATCTAACCTATGCCGAGCAAAATCTTTCCACCGTTTTTGGCTTTCTTCTTTTATCAGCTGATTGACTTACCTTTTAATCCCTTATGACACAGTTCAAGAGAAAATCCCTTGAAATCACTTAGTACATCCTTCCTAAGATTTGAACTGGCTTTGTATAACTTCTTTTCGTCTCATTGTGTTCCGTTGCCTAGGTTCCTCTGATCCGTGATAAGCCTCTCAACTACTGTTGGGCTGTGGAGTCTTCTCTCTTCCACATAACTCAATTGTTCCTGGTCTGTTCTCCCCAACATGCCACCTTTCTGGCTTCTTGAACTTTGCCAATACCACATTCCTCTAGTAGTTTAGTAGAACTTGTTAAAGAAGTACTTTCCCATACATCGTAGCATTATTGCCTTTTTTCGTGCTTCTAAGAACCTCCTTCTAAGGACGTCACCTCTTTCAATATTGCTCGGGCCTTCCCACGTGCGGGGAAACTCATCATGTCCTAGAATTTATAAGCGCGATATTTCTCGAAAAAAATACTCCCGGCAATGAAATATGCAAATTTGAAGTGACGTTTTTTGACGTTCGCAAGAGGATCAGCGAAAAACTGGGTGATGTCATATCTTTCTGTGATCTTCGTTGAGTGAGAGAAAGGAGTGACATGTTGGAGATTCGTCGAAATTTTCACACATTGGAATCGCGGTATCCCCTTCAAGAGCCGCGTTTTCCTGAGGGACTCTCCTTCACTAAGGAGACTCAACTGCACTTTTGTCAAACGCTACCCCAACGGCTTAACTGGGATCTGCATGATTTCATTTTCCAAGGGACTTTCAAGAGATATTGTGATAAGTTTTATATGATAGTGAACGTGAATCTCGCATGAACCAGGTATCCCGCTCCTGCTAGAAGTCTTGGGAGGGTTTGGGCATGGAGGTGGATTTCGGTGGCTACCTACTACCCGAACATCCAGAAACGACGGTCTTGATTGACCTGAGTGTGTGTAAAATTAGATTCTGTGGTCTGTTCAAGTCACAAGTCAACGTCCAGTCAGTACGACTGTCCTTTAACGCATCGAAGTGCTCCCTCACAATCCGAGTGATATCTCTTGCCCTTTCGTTAATGCATCTTCAAGTTGAACAGAGATTTCTGATCAGAAATGAACTCTTCTAAGCGGAAATGACATGAAGAACGTTAACCAAGATGAAATGAGCGGGTTTTAGCAATTTATGAAGAATTTCTGATATGTTTGCGGAGGGAAAGTTTGAGTGTACCCAATTCTGACTTATACTCCCAAGCAGACTTGGAAATGTGGCGATAGGAATAGTAGTCAAAAGGGCTAAGGTGCTCTAAATACAAATGATTGTAACAATTATCGGTTGCGAGTTGGTAACCTGAAATGTAGTTTAAATGAGTAACACATGACGCCTCCATGCTGTTAAAAATAGAGTCCACGAAAAAAAGTGAATTCTAAGAATTACAACTAAGAGCAACTACATAGTGGCCCGCAGGTAAGAAACGGGTCAAAAACTGCTTAGATAGGACTCAGTAAGGGCTCCAACTCAGATAAGGCACTGTAAGGACCTTAAGAATGGACTCGCTGACGTCTGCACCCGAAAGATGGCGAGTATCAACGGCATCATGGCTGCTGCATCATTCATAAGACATACCCATGTTGGAACTTTAAACACCTGCGTGACCTATGGCGACAGCAGAAGACAACTTAGACATTTTTGGTCCAAGTAGCCCGCTCACTATGAGCCTGCAGAGACTGAAATCTCGTCCAAAGACTTCTTCCGTGCCATTTCGTCATGGTGATCTCGTACAAATCTCTCTCACTACTTTTAATAATTCATAATTTCATGGATTATACGGATTTCCTCGCTTTCTTCGCCTCAGATGCTCCAGCAACACTTTCGCTTTACAACTTGAAAAGTTTCCTCAAAATTATCGTTGACTGTGCCCTTGAGCGCTTTTATTGGAAATAAGGACATCAAGATTAGAGGTTTATGAAAAGTGCTAGTATTATAGCTACAAGGAAGGGGAGACGGGCGTTAGGAACGTTTTTGAGTAATCGATTTGCCGCACGCGGCTGTCGCCGACCACTCATTCGCCGTTATTACAGCTCTAGCGTTCTTCATACATCTCAATCGATATGCGATCATTATTTTATGCATAATTCTACTATTAGTACTTTTGTTCTTGTATTTCTTACCTACTGCTGCATCTTGCTACATTCCTTCGCGCGCGACGTCCCTCTCACCGCGACGCGACAATTTCGTTCCTACTGCATCAAACCCTCAAGGAAGTAGTCGAAGACTCAGTCATAGGTTACCATGGAATTGAACTGATCATAAAAACCGTTCCTAAATGAATGTTCTGGGAATTATCACTCGATTTGACGGAAATTCGCAAAAAAGCTCTCAAGTTTGCATCCGGTTCGCTCAAAAATGAGTGGAATAGGAAAGCGGAAATTGGAAAATAAATTGGATTAAAAATTTAATAGGGTAGGTAATTGTTTGCGAGCATTGCAATAAAGTAATATAGCGTTTCTATGGATGTACAGACTCGATGATGATGTTTTCATGCTGCTGGTGGATCGCTGATGAATACGCCCCAACAGATTGAAGTTCTCCGAAAACTAAGAAACTGCAGAGCTTCTGCAATATCTGTGAATTCACCGTACAAATATGCTGGCCTAGTCGAAAAATTAAGTTCAAGTGGCTCAAAAGTTTCGGGATCGACCTCAGTCAAAACTGAAATTTCAGAAATTACTCGGAAAGGGGCAGAATTCTGTATCACAGAGGGCAACAGTTGGCTTTGTGGAAACGACCGTTTTGCTCAGAATAATGCCCCGATTTCAGTGGAAAATGGTTTGTAACAACGAGCAGATCGTCGGCAATTCGAATGCTCAAGTCGCTCCGGGCACCACATTCAGTCCATGGAGCGAGGATTTCTGTAGTGGTGGTGAGTT